AAATGGAGGAAAGTTGCATCGAACGACAGGAAGAGGAACGTCAAGCTCTCCATGCTATTTTCATGGACAACTTCCAAGATTTGAGAGAAGAGGTGATTTATGTATTAAACGATTTACTTAATTGATTAGGGATGAAGTCTTGGTAACTTGCCATAAGCAATAGGGAGCTGTTTACGATCTTGCCCATAATCATACCGAAGAATCATACAGTAGTTCAGGTTTAGTCTTTTGAAATACTTAGGAAATCGCCTGGAGCATAAAGCATATACAATGGATATCAAGACAACTCAGAAGGGGTATCAAGACTCGTTTGTTAGGGAATAAGATGCATTAGGTCACACTTGTAGTGTGTTGGCCTGGCCATCATAATAGTCTCAAAGACTAGTACTTTCAAAATGCCCCTTTTTAAAACACTATATATGGAAGCAATGAAGCTCAGACCGCATTTCCTCTTCAAATGTGCCGAAAGAATGAAACAATAGCGCAAGCATCGACAAGTGTATTCTATTTGTTTTGACGTGTCAAAAAAGTCCAAAGAACGATTGAAAACATTTCATGCCTTCAAGTTTTTCCGATCAATTTTTTCAATTTTTACTTGTATTTATCAAATTAAACAGAGCATTTTCAGAGCTTTAAAAAGAGACCTTGAATGAGCATATTCGATAATTGTAGGCGAAAGTTCGTAGTTTACTTCTTGTTCTTGGCATTTTAATTTATGCACAGGCACCTTTGACCGGCGCGCGAGAAGCATGAATTCCAAAGAATGGCCGCAGACATTTTATGCATTCAAGTTTTTTTCGCCAAATGTTTTAAATTTTAAGTTTTGCATAAAATAAACAAAGGGCATTTTGCGAGCTTTCTAGGGAGACCTTTGAACGAGGAGAGTGTGAAGCGTGTTTGCAAGTCGTGCACTCGCGAACATTTCGATAGGCGCATGCTAGATCTCAATCGAAATTTACAAATGTCCCGTCTAAGAAAATATATAGCTTCAAGTCTGACAGCTCTTAGCACATTTTTACGAATCTGAAATTCACCAGAGGCCTTTGAATACAATCGTGTTTGTGGGATGGGTGCGCTAGCGAGCCGTTTTTGTCAATGAACTCCAAACCTCTGTTATTTACATCTAGGGCTATTGTTATTGTATGTTGCGTTTTATTGCTGTAGACGCAAATTTTCGGAACTGAAGCTATTGTTCGTTTTTGAACTATAAATAAAACAAAATTGTCACATGTCATTCAAGGGGCGTTCCGATTTCTATAGCTGTCTTACATTTCCGAGTGAAAGTGAAATCCGACGAGAACCTTAACAATTGCATGAATATATGTATACTTGAGTCGACGCGAAGTTGTAATGTGCTGACAAATCAGTTATGGTTGCTGCTATTTTCAATTTTGCTCAGCAGCTTGACTGTACTTCTTCTTCACGCTTCATCGCTCTGGCTCACCTCTCTTTTTTCCACATCTTGACAATCTCTCAAAGCTAGTTCGGGGAGTTACTCGAAAAAGTATTTTCTGAAATGATGAGGTTTTTATCGCTATTATTATTATTTTTCAATAAGTAGGGCAAGATCTACTTGTGTTCTGCATGTTGTGTTTTTTTTCATATTTGTTGTACAGCTATAGCAGTAATAAAAAGTAACTTATTTCTAGAGAATTTTTTCCAAATCTTTAATCCTTGAGGGTTTTTGAACTGAGGTATAATTTCTCTCTATGGCATCACTGCTGAAGCAAATATTAGTCTCATGAGGACTAATTCTTCACATTGCCCTAAGAAGAGTTTCAAGAACAGTATGGAGAATAAACATGCTGATCTTAAGATGTAAAGGATTTAGTAAACTTAGTTTGAAAAACCTACAACTTACCTGTCATTCTAAAATTGCAGCAAAAGCAATATTAAGTTAAGAGTTAAGAGTTAAGAGTTCCCTATTATGTAGCTTGAATAACGGAGAGAAATTTCAAATTCTGAAGATATTTTGAAAAAAAAAGAGGGTTCAAATGATAAATGAGAGTGAAAATACCCAGACTTTTTGAACAAGGTTTATTGAGAAAGTGGAGATCTCTTGCAACTGGGTAAAATTTTCTGACTAAATTGCAATAGCCTGGGCTCTTTTTCGTTCAGCGGTGGAAGCGATATTCAATATGTCCTCCCCTTAACTTAACACTGTTCTAGTGTTACTGTATTTCTCAGTGAAAACCCTGTATTAACTAACATAGTGTTTGTCTGTCTATAAAGCCTGATGAACCTCCGAAGGTTTGTTTAAAGTTGACTCCATTTCAAAGTGTTGCGGCCAAGGAGGTCTATGCCAGAGTTGATTTGATCATACAGTATACAGTGGATTATCCTAATCAGTAAGTATAGAATCCTTTTAATTTGTTTACAATCGTAAGGAGATAAGGGACGAAAACAAAGCATTTAAAAACACAAGGGATCCCAGATTAAGACAGTTCTATGACTGAGGTTCGATTTCTTCTTCTTAATTTTTTATCATTATATAAAGAGTATTCTTCTGCAATTTTTTTTACATAACTCTTCTGAAACCTATTCCCAAAGACTAGCCAACAAATGTTTGGATGTGCAGTAATTACATATATGTAAGCAGTTCTAATTGTGTGGTAGCCCGTTATTAGTATGTAGTCTAATATGAGGTATTAAGTCTAAGTATGAAGTAGAAAGTATGTTGTCTAAAAGTGTATGCACCTTTCCGTTATTTGGATTATAGTATGCTTAACTATTTAACTCCCAGAAGTGCTTATCACGTAACTTCGCCCTATAAATTATTCCTACATTATTCAGCAAACAGGTGATGAAAATACTCAAATTTACCAGGTAAAAGTTGGTAATCTTGATCTAATACTAAATTATATTAACTTATTTTACAAGGAAATGTGTAGTAGCTGGAGGAGAGGATTAGCAATCAAATTTTGGGGGTTAAATAGTTTGGAGTAGTTTAGATATCATGTCTGTGTAACATGGTTGGTCAGTTGTGTTGTTAGTGCATGTTGTTTTACGGCCTATTAAGTTCATTTTTATATTGTAAAAAGTCTTCTAAATAACTATAAAATGTTTTATTTTACGAACCTCTCAAATTTTGTCATAATCTTGATCAGTTGACAAAAGGACTTAGTGTCCTGTGATCAGCTCTGTAATTATTATACTTTTGATTAACAAAACCAAATTCCCACTTCTGATTTTGCTAATTACTATTTTATGGCAAACAAAACTGGATGTCACAAGTTCTTATTACCATTCTATTTAATGAGAGTTTCACTAAGTGTTAGAGTGAAAAGCTAACCATTTAAGGCTGGTAAGGCAGAAAAGGTAACCCACAGGTAGTGCTGATTCTTGCATCATGATGATAGATTGCTCTGTGTCATTTTTAGGAGTCCAAAGCTGTCTATGTGCAATGCTGAAGGTATTTCAAAGGAAGATGTAAATAAGCTTCAAACTGAGCTTCGCAAAATGGCTGCTGATCTTGTTGGTGAGGTGAGCTATACATGTACTGTACTTTTATGTTAAACACACTGACAGTGCTTGACAGTTTCTTCATTGTTCTAAGTCAAATGTGCGCTGTTTGGAAGTGATTACCCATACTTGCTAAATCCTTGTGGTGACAAGGAAGTGAAGGGTTCTGTGGCCATAAATGAAAGTTACTATATTTAGGCATATAATTAAAACAGTTTCAGCATATATATACACAAAATTTTCTGGTGAAGTCTGCAAGTACCATTTTGTCAAAAAGTCGCCTTTTGGCGACCTTTAATTGTAAAATGGTTGCCATAAATTAGAATAATTTTGGTCTCTTCCCTCATCCCCTCCCCTTCCCTCCCCCTAAAAAAAAAGAGACAAGACAAAATCCTCCTATTGATGGGACGAGATTTCGTGTTCAAGTACATGAATTAGGAAGTGAGCCGAACAGCGTGATTGCAACACTTACATTTGCCAGCGTAGTACGTTTACTCCTTAACCGATTAAAACGGTAGAGAGAGAGAGAGAATAGAGAAACTCTGATGTCTGGAAGCAGAAGTGATTTACTACAAAGTCACTGAGACTGAGTGAAAAATCGTGTTCAATATTATTTTAGTCCATTGCTCAGGTCAGAAACATATCTCATTTGAAGTTAGACTTAAATGCTACAAACAATGTAGAATTAATGAAGTTTATCTCCACTAAATCTGTTCATCCTGGTTACTACTCATTTTAGGAGCATGTGTATTTGGGAGCTACAGAACATTTTGGTTTTCGTTGGTTCATTTGATAATTTGACCGAGTATCAATAAATTTTCATGAATTTCTTTTCATACATTTTTTTCCAATCTGTTGGTCGCCAATTGGCGATTTTTGTTGAAAGTGTAGTTGCTAAGTACATTTTTAACTAAAATTAGTCGCATAAGCTAGAAATCACACGTCATTAATAAATTAGTATATTTTTTAATGCTACCTCTTTAACTCCCACAAGCGACCCACCCGTAACATCTCCCTATGTTATCTGTATGTTATCCAACAAACAGGAAATGAGATAGTAAAACTTATCAGGAAGTATTTTTCCTGAACTAACACAAAATTACTTGAACCAACTTTCATGTAAAAGGAAATGTGTAGCAGCTAGAGGGGAGAATGAACAATCAGATACATGTATGATGGGAGTTAAAAAGGCTTATGGAAAGTAATTTATGTTTGCATTGGTTTCCCTCACCCTAACCCTAAGATGGTCAACATCATATTTGTGTCTTTCAGACTGTTTTTTTTTTTTTTTCGGTCTTTATATGTATACTTAAGTTTCAACAATTTGACTCCTTTTGGTCAGTAACTGTTTTTTTTGTTTACATTCTGCTTGGCCTCTTTCATTTTGCTTTGGTTCACATCGTTCAGTGGAAATGAACTTGAATTTCAAAGCCAATGGCATTGGCTTAACTTCAATTTATTTATCAGTCAGTTTTTGATGTTGATCATTCTCATTGTGAAATTTGCTTACTTAAATTTGACATACTGCCTCACAGGTTATGGTTCTGCAATTAGCACTCCATGTTCAAACATGTCTTCACCAACACAACAAACCACTGTTATCACTTTATGATGAAATGATGGCTAACCAGCTTAAAGAGGAGGAGAGACTCCAAGCTTCTGAGCGTCAAAGACTGCAGATGGAGATTGAAGCTAACAAAGAGCGGGAAGAAAATGAGGTAAGGAGAATTTGTCCTCCAAAGTATCTGTAAACTAAGGATTATTTTGCATGCCTTTGTAGGCCTTATCTGTAACATTATGTTCGTCATTTATTAGATCCTTAGAATATAAAGGGTGTGTCACCATAACAACTGGAAGGGATCTTTAACTCTTTCACTCACAAGATCCCAGTAGTAATTATCCTCACTGTCTACTGTGTGATTTTAAGATGTTAGGTTGGAGAATTTTATCATATTGGATCAACTAATAGTCCCCTAATTTACATTTGTGTTTACTCTTATCGCTTGTCTGCTTGCTTTTGTATTGATATTGTAAGGAGAAATTCTTCCTTGGTCACTCATGGGAGTTAAAATGGGAAGATGCTTGGAAGAGGCGAATAAATGAATTTTAGTCAACTCAGGTGTTTCAGCCAATGATTTTCTATTATATGGTTTTTTTTAGAAACGTAAGATAGAAGAAGAACTACGGTGGAGAGATGAAGCTATGAAAGAGAACAAACGACCGAGAACTGTTGTTATTCTAGTAAGGATTCTGTTTTAAAATTAACTTTATTTAGAGCGATATTCTATTGAGTTTCATAAAACCAAGAAAGAAAATCACAACGGGAAATCAAGAGAAAGGAAAATACCCTGAAGATTCCACGAGAACTCAGAGTAATAATAAGCAAACCGTCTAAGGCGCGGGAAAACGCCGGCGACCAAGTCATATTTGATGTCAATTTTGCATCTGATTGGTTGAGAGAGTGGCGCGAGTTTTCTGGACCAATCACAGAGCAGAGTAAAGCAGAACCAATGCAATCCCGGATTACTTTGGACACTCAATTAAAAATTTCTCTACTGGGCTTAAGACTATGTGCACTTTACTAAATCACTAGGAAAGGAAGACCAAGACAGATCCAGCGACTAAGAGTGCAAAGACAAAAGATCCTGACACCAGCCCAACAAAGGAAGTGCCACTTCAAATAAAACAATCTGGGAGTTCCACGGCACTTACTCAAGCTTTCCCGTCGCCCAAGAAAGCAGAGGGAATGCCCTCTGGCAACAATGTCATGAGACGAAGGCGGAGCTCTGAAAGTGTGGATGATGAGTCCTTCACAGGGACACGAGTGATCCACTTCACCAGCAGAGGGGGGCATATTGTTTATTGTGGAAAATACCATGGTAAAAAATACTTTACTGAGTGGGAGGGCCAGATGGGAAACTACATTATTTGGCCCGAATTCATGACGTGTGGACCGAGGGCAGTGAGTTCTGTGCGTCATGACCAAGAGGCAAATGTTTCCCTTCTTGAGCGACATAAGTCTGTACTAAGCTAGGAAGCCTATCCAGCCGTGGCATATGCCGGTTTCCATAGCATGAAGCGAATAGGAGTACTATTCCCCCCAATTTTGTTGTCTATAAAAAAATTTATGCTTATTAACACCAAATTGCACTCAAAAACCTTGTGTATTATTGTTTTTATCGAACGCGGTTGTTTTGACCGAACGCACGGTTTGAATAAATTATTTTTGCACTTGATGCGCGCGCTTTGCTACTACTTAATCATGATAAGTTATCTCCTATTTTTTCATGTATATTATTAATACGTAATCACATGATTTTTCTCGCGAAATTTGGAATAAATAAGCGCTTGTTAGTTTTTTCAAAGACCACGAATTGCACTCGCCCTACGGGCTCGTGTAATTTTGTTAGTCTTTGAAACAATTTACTCGTGCTTATTTATTCCAAATTGTACTCGAAATCATGTGATTGCCCATACAAATTGTGCTTCAACCTGCATACGAGGCGATTAAACACAAATAAGAAGGGCGCGTGCAAAACGACTACCAAAATATTTTTTAAAAAAGAACTTGGCTAGCAGCCATCTCACTCTGTAGAAATCGGCTATAAATTAACGCCCAGATGTTGGCAAGATTGAGAAAGCGAAATTCACTGACAGTTGAAGTGCTGTTCAAAGGCTGGAATACCATTTAGGTAGTAAAAGCATCTTCAAGGAAGAAGCGTGAGTTGGGGCTATTTTGTTTTGTTTCAGGTCAGGGATCATCCGGTTCTAAAGTTTACAATGGCATGAACATTACCATAGGTGATCTTGTGGTGGTGTGTGAATGGATTTTGTCGTCACTTCATGCAGGACCTCAGATGCGACGCACGCTGAGTATCACTGACAACCAGCAACAGGATCCGCAAGCAAGGCTTTTGAAACAGGTCTGGTTATTAATTCAACTACTTCAGGTTTTTATTCTGTGATAAATTTAAATTTTAGAACACACAACTGACGCGGGAACGGGTTATACCACTGAAATGTTTTTTGTTTTGTTGTTTGTATTGTTTTCTTTTGTGTTTATTTCGTTTTGTTCCATTTCCTACTAAACGGTATTTCCTTACAAAACAAATGTCACACGACGCAAAATTACAGATTTCCAGCCAAATTAAAAATAAATCTAATTTTTTTGTGCTTTGTTTTCACTCTTAGGTATTCAGTATAGAGCAGGAGACTTTGTCCCTGATCAACTGCGTCAGTCATCCAAACCTGACACACTATTTAGCCGTTAACGTCCAGGAAGAATCTCCTATTGTCAAAGTCCAGGTATTTTTAAGTATAAAGTATTCTAGATATGTATAGTAAATCCTGATTTTTCGCCTATTCAACTTAAGATTACGAGAAAAAGGATTAATTTGGAATATTTCGGATAAAGAGGTCATGGTGTCGGCCCCATCCAAGTGAGTATTCGTTCGCAAAAGTATAGGGCCGATTATATCAACAAAGTTTAGCCGTTTTTTACAAAACCGCGTTCTAAAATATCTTCAACCTAGCTGAATCTTTTATCTCAACATTTATTTTTGTGAACAGTGTCAAGAGAGCCGAAAGCCAAAAGAGGAAGGACATTGGTTTAATAAAATCAACCCTCTTATTGGGAATAATTGAGGCCCATTGCTTGCGTAACACCGCGATTTGGGTTAGACCTCTTTGAAATAGGCGGCCTATACTTTTTGGTGCGTTTTTGCTTATTATCCAGACTAAAACGCCCGAAAAACGTTCATGACAACGACTTCAAAAAAGTATCGCTTTTGGCTTCTTGTGGGAACGGGTGAAACAGCGGCTTTTGAAAACGATGACGTGAAACATTCCCTCGCCTCTATTCACGTTTTTAGGCGCTTTAATGTGGATGATAGGTGAGAATTGAACCCATCAAAGGTATACGTTTTCGAATGAAAACGTTAGGTAGGAAAAACCAAAAAGGCCAAGCAGGGTGAAAAAAATTTTGATTCGTTTTGTAGTTGCCGTTAAAACGGACAAATTTGGTCGTGGCCTGAGGCGGTTAATTGTCACATTACCTCTATTATCTCTCCATTCATTAGAATAAATAGGTGGCAGGAAGCCATTTTGAATATGTAACACTTGAACATGTAACACTTAAATTTAAATTTCATGTTTCATTTTAACCTTTGTTCACCTCCATTAAGCGGTGCCCCTATACTGAGTCCCAACGGCCTGTTTGTATTATCTTCCACCTGTATTAAACGGACATTAAAAGAGGAATTACTCAAATAAAACTAAGATTAATTTTTTTAAAGTAAATTTTGATTTTTCTCTCCCAAAATCAAAGTAAATAGTGCTGTTGTTTATCGCTTTTTATAATACCCCTAATCTGTGGAACTTGTATGAGGTGGTCATCCCGCCATTCCCCGCGTCCAAAACTATGCCTTATTTCCTCTCCTTTATAATAATAATAATAATAAGTCTTTATTAAGCACTCTAAACAACAAACGTGTTTAGTTACAATGATATGAAATCAGCAAGTATAAAACTAATAAACTAACTAAATTACTAACTGAATAACTAATAAGAGAACAAACATCTATTAATAAAGGTCCTTTTGAAACGTTCAGTTCTGACAAGCGGGAGAATATAATTATGGCGCCTCTTACGTAGCGTATCCATTGTTCGCTCTGGTGGCAAAAGGTCATCTAAAGCTGTTGGAAAATCGCTGTCGGTGATCTTGGCCCACAACTTCTTATCTTTTAGAATGATAATATTTTCAATCGAAAAAAGCTCTTTACAGTAGCCAAGCTTAAAAGCTCTCTTGAACAGCCTGTCTATGCGACTCAGATACTTATGATAATACGCGCAACCCCATACTTCTACAGCATATGTAAATATAGGTAGAATAAGACTGATAAAGAGAAGATGAAGATGATCCAGCGGCAGTCCATAGAATTTACAAACACGTAAGATGTACAGACGACTACTGGCTTTCGATATAATATTATCAAAATGTAAGTCCCAGTTACACGGATCAGATTGAAAAGTTACACCCAACAACTTCAGACATGGTTTACGCTCTATAGATCAAGATCTTACATTTAGCGACCACATTTCTGGTCTAAAGGCCAAGCTTTCTCAGCGTATTGGTTTATTGAAGAAGATAAAGAGGTACCTTCCAATAAAAGAAAGACTCTTATACTATAACGCCTTGATTAAACCCGTCCTTATGTATGGGAGCATGGTTTGGAATATCTGCGACGCTAAAGAACTCCACTGTCTCCTAAGGTTACAGAAAAGGGCTGCCCGAGTAATCCTTGGAGTTGACTCTTATTCTAGAAGTGTTATAAACTTTAGTAAACTAGGCTGGTTGCCTTTTTTGATGAAATCAAACTAAATAAGTGTACAATGATTTTTAAGAGCCTTAAAGGCGATGTTCCGATTTACATCAGAGACTTGCTCAAGACGAACAGTTCTGTACACAATAGGTCTACTAGACATGGCAATTTAAATTTAGTGTGTCCCAAATACCTAAGAAATAACGATGGTGGCAAGGCATTCAGTGTTGACGCAGTTAAGTTATGGAACAGCCTTCCCCATAATATCAAAAAAAAATAAGCCTAGTATAAAACTATTCAAAACAGCTGTGAAAAAGTATTTTATAAGCTCATATAGAAACCTGGACAACTTTGAAACAATATTAAGCAATAGCACATTATCTAATTTTAATTTTTTATAAATTAATTTTATCTTTCTGAATATTTTTAATATATCCTGCTATTTCTATCATAGAATTTTGTAATTATTTGTATATTTATCTATTTATTAGTATTATTTTGTAATGCTGTATAATCTAGTTAGAGGGCCACAGGTTTGTCAGCTTTTCAGCTGTTACGTGTCCCCCTCTATAAATAAAGTCCTTACTTACTTACTTACTTACTTACTATAGAAACCAGAGGAGCAGGTAAGGCCTTAGTGGATTTGGATTTGCCTCTAAGAAGCATCTCCCACGTTTTCTTGAAGTTTAGTTGCATACGATTAGCAGATGTCCATGCGACGATCGATCGGACCTCCTCAGCTGCTAAATTGCCGTTATTAGCCAGCGATTTTACTGGAATACTTAATGTTAAATCATCAGCATATTTCACAAGTAAATTCTGATTTGGTAGAATGGCCTTAATATCATTGACCATAATAGAAAATAGTATAGGGCCTAAAACTGTCCCCTGAGGGACACCTCTATTGATATTTACATAGTCCGTGACAATGGCATCAACAACAACTCTTTGTTTCCTGTTCTGTAAAAACTAATAATCCAATTGGTCACGTATGGATTTATATCAAGTGTTTTCAACTTAGAGCAGAGGATATCATGAGGGACCGAATCAAAAGCTTTGCTGAAATCAAAAGAGAAGATTCTAACACAATCAAAACCCGACTCAAGCCATTTCAGCCAAGCATATTGACACTTAATTAAGGCCATTGTCGTATTGTGGCCTTTGCGGTATGCAAACTGGTCGAAGCTAATGAAGTTCTTCATATATTGAGATAATTCTTGTCTGTATACAAGACGTTCAAAAACCCTCATTATTACATTAGTCAGCGAAATAGGCCGCAACTGTGTGCAATTTTTAAAGTTGGGCTCTTTAGGCAAGGGAGTTATGTCGGCCAATTTCCAAAGATCAGGCACAATGTGATTTTCCAAAGAACAGTTGAAAATATGGGTAACAACAGGAGCGAGGTCGTACGCAAACTCTTTCCAAAACCAGTACGGGATCCCATCTGGACCAGAGGCAGTTCTTTTTAATTTCAGTAGACTCCTGGTAACACTGGAGACCGTTAAAACAGGCATCTCGCTTGATTCCGGGATAGTGACAGTGTCAATGGGTTTATAAAGGGGATCAGTGTTAATGGAACAGAAAAAATTATTGATCTCGCTCGGGGAGATAATTGAGCTTACTTGCGAGTTGGTAGACTTCCTTCCTGTCAGGGAATTGACTGTTGACCACCAAGATTTGGATCCTGCACTATGTTTCTCAAAATTCCCTTTAACTGCTCGAACTTGATTATCTCTGATCAACTTGTTGATTTTCTCTTGAAGAGTTTGGATCTCAATCGAAACAGAATTTCCTGACATGTTACTTCGCCGAATCAATTTTCGCCGTTGGTCCAGTAGATGTTTGATGCGCGTTTGGTCGTTGATAAAAAACAGTGGTCAGTGACACGAACTGGAATCTTGTGATGTTGTTGACGAGATCCAAATCTAGAATTAACACCAGCTCTACGACCTCTAGCTCTATAGATTCCCAATGACTTTAAGCGATGAATAAGATAATAATCCAGTTTAACCTTAGGACAACAGGAGCGAAGTTGAAATAAATTACGTCGACTGAAAGAAAATCTAGGTCTTGAAGTTTGAAGTGAAGCAGTCGGCATGTAGTTAAAATTTTCCGGACCCGGGTTAATTTCAACATCCACTGCAATAGATAGGTCCTTGATGAAACCTCTTTCAGACAGAGCAGCAACCGTCGAACCATGCTTTGACCATTTGGTGATCGGTAACTTAGTTGAGCGTCTTGCAACAGCAAGGTCTTGACCGCAGCGAGAAGCAGAAAATAGCTTTCGACTGACGCTAAAAGGGCCTTTAAAGGTAGATGGAGGCGAACAGATTGAATTGTGCTTGTCAAGATACTGAACGAACAAGGTAACAAAGCACAAAAGCTTAAAAAAACAACAACGACGATAGTAAGCGGCAGCCATCTTGGCGCACATACATTATGTTTCATAATGAAACATAAATTCAGCAATTAATTATTGTATTTTTCCTTTCTTCCTTTAGGTTTAGTCAGAATACGTTGGTGGCGGCGATCTCAGTTTGCACCTCAAGAAAGAAGGGATGGCTGTGGCACAGCTACGAGAATACACTCAGCAACTTGTGGAAGCCCTGTGCTATCTTCACAGTAGGGCTGTGGTCCATAAGGACTTGAGGGTGAGTGAAACAGAGAGGTTCTGTTTATTAATTCATTAAACATTCTTCTTGAAATCGTCAATTTTGCTTATGAGATCCCCTGTTGCTCCAGATTCACTCTTTCTCTTTCTTTTACAGTTATCTAGTTGCCGCCTTGACTCTGACGGAAATATTCGACTGGCCGATTACAGTGTTGGGAAAAGGTGAGTTTTATTTAGTAGCTAGAGTTTATAAATTCGTTTTCACATAGCAGATCTGTTGACTATTTGTACCAAAGGTTCAACTTAATATAAATAGCCTTTTGTTAAGTGGTACACATAGTTTTTTTTCAAACAAATTCCTGCAAATGACGAACAGTTAACTAACAACTTTTAGATTTTACCAAAGGATCCCACCGGTTGAAATATTACCTCCCATTTTTTTGCCATAAGAAACGTCTTAGTTTTCAAGGATTTTTTTCTTTAGATCATTCTTAGTTTTCTTTTTTGTTCCTGTATGTAATGGTTATTATAGATGCAGTATCTTCCGGGACGAAAGATTCCAAACTCTTGGAGCACCCTGCTGAAGTCAAGGTTAACTTTGCCACATTCCTCCGCACCCCCTCCCATTCCTCTTCCCCTCCCCCTCCCCCCGCATGGCTACGCCTATCTCGGCGCCTAGTGACGCCAGCAGCGTAAATTGATGTTATGATGCCCAGTGTTGGATCAGTTTAATTTTAAGTACGTCAAAGAAGCAGCGTAGTTGTTACAAGAACTAAAAAATTCCCGTAAAGTAGACAGGCGATTGAATATGTTCAAATAATATTCAAGGTTGTCGGATCTGTACCAAATGTATAGTGGGAATGTGAAAGAAACACAGAGTAACGCTGCAGACGAAAACAAAAAAATAACTTCTGGTTGTGGAAAGAAAGGAGATGTCTACAGTTTGGTAAGGGATAGCTTCGTGAAATCTTATTCATGGGCCTTTGAAAAGCATGGGTTTCTCTGTTTTTCTTTCGTTAGCCTCATCACCAGTTTTGAGTGACACAATTCATCTGTGACACGCTTTCCTTGCGCGTGAAAATGCTTTCAATTCGGGGTATGACAGCGGAGGGCGGAAGGCGCGAAACAGTACGAAGCTGCAAACCAAACTAAGGGCGGAGCTTAGGGTTTGGGCTAGGTTTAAATTCAAGCAGCAAAAAAAGGGAAAAAAGAACTAAAACATGCAAACATGCATACTAAAAAGAGTAGGTTCAGCATTATTTATTCCAACATAGAAGAGGCAACGAGGATGCTGAACCCACTTGAGATTAATCAAGATTTTAACACTAAGACTATTTTTTTCCCCAAGGGCCTACTCGTTCTCTCTTTGGCTGTCGGAGATGTAATTTTTGTAGACGTGAAAGAAATATCTGCTTCATTGCCGTCAGATTTGCGAGACTTCCTTTTCAAGTAAGTGATATATCTGAATTCTAACAGCAAGACTCATTTTTCATGCATGACAAACTCCAACAATTCGCTATTATTCTGCAATAGTAGTTTAGCTCGTTGGCACAACTTGTGAGAAATGGTGGTGACAAAGTTCATGCAAGAAAATGATTCTCAATGAAAAGTATGAATACGTGCTTTTATAATTCTTCTTCTTCACAGTTGCTTAACGACCGATGAAGGAAACCGGTGGTCCGCATCTCAACCACGCGAACATTCATTTTTAACCTCAGTCATATACGGTAGTTTAGCGCACGGTCAACAGGAAGTTGGAAAGAACAGTGGAAAGGCAGGGGATGATGGGCCATCACACCTGGTTGACCAACCGAAACGCGAAGAGCCTGTACCTGACTTCTCATACATCTCGGGAGTTCCTGGACAATCCCGAGTAAAATGCGAATTTGAGGATCTGCAGTTTCTCGGAAGAGGAGATTTTGGAAGTGTCATTAAGGTATACTTGAGTTAATGGTGTCAGTTTAACTTGCAAGGACGAGAACAAGAACATCGTAAAATCTAGATCTTAATGAGGTTTGGATTCCATCGGCAAGATCGACCGTACCTTTTATAGAAGACATGGTCGTTTGGGACGATGGGAACACACATGGGGCCGGCGAAGACAACTTTTTAATATGCTTATTTCTTGACTTGGTACGCTCATTGATGAAAACACGGAAGAGCGATAATGTCCTGCGATGAAGTAATCTGGTTTTTTTTTGTCTTATCATGAGCTTTGTAAGTAAAAATTCTGTGGCCTTATGAAGAATCAAGCCACAGACCTTTCATATGTGACACGCAATCGCCACACTGCGGGAGTGAGTAATGTCGACAGCCTCGTGTGGGTGAATAGAATAGGAAAGATGCTGGAAATGTTTAAACCTTGTATTGAAATAAAGGAGGACTCCACAAGTCAGTTCATATGCCATTCAGTTTAAATCTTTGTTGTTATTTCATTTATGCCTTTTTTTTTTGAAGGTACGAAATAAGCAGGACAACTGCTTTTACGCTTTGAAACGGATTCCTCTGAATCCAAAGAGTACTCAGTTCTACAGGACGATCATGCGTAAGGTACAGCTGATCAGCCGCCTAAATCACGAGAATGTCGTGAGGTACGCATTTAATGAAATCATTACAGACGGAGTTCGCGTTTATGCACAAATTGTGCGTACAGACACGCAACAAACTTCGGTGGAGCGCATAAACACAGAGCAAATCGGGACGTATGGGAGAAGATTTGAAATTAAAAAAGTTCCAGTAAAAATTAGAGAAAAAATACCACTGAGTAAACATATCCAGATGGTTAGATTTAAATATTTCACTTCAACGAAAGGAGAACGAGCAAAGTGATTATGATGAGGCAATTTTAGTGTGGTAAATTTCGCTTGGTCCTCTTTTAAGCCAGTGCCTTTTACATCTGTAGCTAGGTGGTTTTACAGGCTCCAATAATTATTGCTAGTTTAAGAAGAAGAGTCGCTTTGAGTTGGTGAATGGTTGTCGTAAAGGAAATACTGAAAATGAGAAATCTAAGGCGCCTTTTAAGGGAAACGGAGCGCAACGCAAGTTAAAACTGATATGTAATGTACTAATCCAGTACAGCTGTATTTTAATGGGAGAACACTTAGCTCCCTTGCCAGTCTACCAGCATTCCACTCTAATTATCGAAAACAGACTACCCAAATCAAATTTAGCATGATTGTTAAAAACCCCCATCAGGCAGCGGGTAAACCAGTCGGCTGTTGGTTGGCTATTGTCGAAGAGTTTAGCTCGAAACTACTAAAAAACAAATTTAACAGATATTTATTACCGCAAGACTCAAATGCAGAACCTCAGAGGGACGAGTCTGACCCGCTTACAACTTGCGGTTCACGCTGCCTTACTTCTAGTCACATTTTCCCTTCTGTAGATATTTCGATTCCTGGATCGAAAACGCAGAGGACGTTGAAGACTCCTGGTGGCAAGACGACGAGAAAGGAAAGAACAATGAATCAGATTCGTCTTCAAGTGACTCGCAGGAATCGATTTGTTGTCCAAGTAAATTAACACCATCTGAGATTCACAGTGTGTCATTCGTTAATAGCAAGTCTGAGTCGTCTGAAGGGGTGGTGTTTAGAGGAAATGTTGAAGCTTTGGTTTCTCAGAGTGGAGATCTGTCAGATACAGAGGTAAGGTAGTCTTGAAAAAAAAATATTAATCACAAAAAATTGACTTTGTAGTCGTGGCGATTTTCCATCAGGTAACTGCTAAGTAAGAGAGAAATCTGTGTTGATGCTTTACTTCTGTAACCTTGTCGTTCCGTCCGATAAGGGTGACTACACAAGAAATGAAGAAATGTGAAAGTGGTTTGGGACATGGTGGTTAAGAATATTCCTAGGTTTTCTTGATAAACTACTCGAAATACTTTTGTCGAGCTTCCATGACAAACGCTGGTATGAAAACATATTTCAGTTGACATACACCTGTAGTCCACTCTGCTTTGAATTCTCATTAGCTGACTGAAAAAAAAAAACAAAACAAAAACAGAAACAAACAAACAAACAAACAAAAACAGGGGGCTAACAGAAGTTTAAGAGTATTCATTGCAGGATACGTTTTAGCAATTGTTACATGCACAGAATAAATTAGCTGAGGTACGTGATCACAACGTTACAGGATGCTCGGGAACAAACATACACCATCCTCGTTCCTTTTTTTTCTTCTTTCTTGAAGTCCGAAGATTCTGATGAAGAAACGGAATGGCGGGAGACTAGAAGCGAGTCCAGTAGAGAACAGGTGGGACTACAGTACCTGTACATCCAGATGGAGTACTGTGAGAAGAGCACCTTAAGGAACCTTATTGACGAGGGCTTGCATGGAGATAAGGAGCGAGTTTGGAGACTTTTTAGAGAGATCGTCGAGGGCCTGGTACACGTTCACACTCAGGTGATGCACAAGCGCTTAGTCTGCCTTGATGTAATCTACTTAGATTTTCTTAAGCTAGAGCAATGTTCAATTAATTGTCCTTTATGAACGAGTCGATTACCAAGATCAACATTGGTTCTTGTTAGAACAGTGATAGCAGATCAAACGTGGGTGACTCAGATGTTTCGCTGTTCCACGTACGGAGAAAAACGGAAAACATAACGCTTTCTTTCTTTATCTCCCTCTTTTTTTTTCGTTGAACAGGGCATTGTTCACCGGGATCTTAAGCCCGTAAACTTGTTCCTAGATTCTCTCGGCCGCATCAAAATAGGCGACTTTGGCCTCGCAACCACCCACGGCATGATACACGGAGAAATGGGCACTGACGACCCAGATTCTATTGCTAATGGCCAGTCTCCTAAGATGAACCCGAGCTGTAAAGAGAGTATGGCAGGCGAGGTTGGTTCGACGCTGTACACGGCTCCGGAGGTGGGAAAACGGTTTAGCGGTCGAATGAAGTACAGTCAAAAGGTTGACTTGTATAGTTTGGGGATTATCTTCTTTGAGATGTGTTACAAGCCTTCCGCAACCTTTAGGGAGAGGGTTAAAGTTTTGGGAAATCTACGAACGGTGAGCGCATGTTTACCCGTGCACTACACGCATGTAAGAACGAAAGAAATTTGCAATTTTCCCGCCCACTAGGAGGGATCAAAATAGCCAAAAGGGCGTTCTTGTGATCTACTTTCAAATGTTTTAACGTGAAGATGCTCCTCACTTTTTTTTTATATTCACTTTCCTGAGCCTAAATTGAAAAGGAAGTAGAATAATGCCAAACAATATTCCAAGTTTTTAGTCAAGCCTTGAGGGGCGACAAAGTTGTCGGTCTTTTCATTTCAGAACATTGATAACGCTTTTCATCAACTCGTTTCCTAATTAGGAAGGAATCATCTTCCCGACTGATTTTGACTACAAGGGCCTCGCTAAGAAAATCATCGTCCTGAAGTGGCTCCTCAAACATACCCCTGAGGAGCGCCCTACCTCACAAGAACTTCTTCAAAGCCAGTATGTCCCTTCTTGAAGATGGTCAGTTGGACGAAGTGCTCAAACATACGCTCGCGTCTACGAACTCTACTCGCTACCAGCGTATGATGAAGGCCATGTTCTCGCAGAAAGTCTCTTTAATTCAAGACCTCATTTACGATCTTGACGTTTACACGGGACAGGTTTCACCACATGCTATCCTCGTGCAGCAGATGGTTCACGAAAGCTTGAAATCTGTGTTTTTGAGACACGGCGCGTTACAGTTGAAAACATCACTTCTTATGCCACGCACGAAGTTATTTGAACAACTGGAATTAGCTGTTAGCGTTATGGACCACAGTGGCAAGCTTATTACGCTCCCTTACGATCTCAGGATTCCGTTTGCGCGTTATATCGCGCGAAATGGGGTCGTGAACATGAAAAGGTTTGACATCGGATGCGTGTATCGTGACACGAAGATTCTGGGCGCCCATCCTAAGGAACTTTACAAGTGTGTATTCGATATAGTCACAAGCTCGCCGGAAGACCTTGTGCCCGATGCCGAGGTTTTGTTTGCGGTATTCGAGATAATAAATAAGTTTCCTTCGCTTGGGTCCCGTAATTATTACATCAGGATGAATCATGCAGGTCTTTTGAATTGTTATCTGACTTCTGTAGGTATATCGGATGAGAGACAGGCTGAATTGTTGGCAATTCTGAAAGAAATTCGTTGCGAGAGTGACCGAAATGTTCAGATCAATACGTTTGTTGAGAGCTTACATTTAAGCGATCACGCAGCGACGGCGCTTGGCGAGTTCCTCAACTTCTAAGGCCCTGTAAATAAATTACGCGAGCATCTGATTGATACCATGAAGCGAAAATCTTCAACGCGGCAAGTTCTACACGATCTAGAAGCCATCACGCAGCATGCTCAAACATTCAAGATTGATCTTCCTGTGAAAGTCAAGACATCTATGGTTTATAACTACCAGCATTTCTCAGGTTTGATTTTACAGTTTGTAGCCGCAAATAAGCAGAAACGGAAGCGAGGGGGCGTTGATATTCTGGCCGCTGGAGGACGATACGATAAGATGATAAATCAATTCCGCCGGGAAGAGAAGCTACTAACCCCTCCTCTGGAGCGGTGGGTGTCAGCATCGCGATTGAAAATATTGTAGCCGCTGTTTTGGAAGAAGAAGACGTTACTTATCTGTGTCCTTATGATGTCATGGTTTGTTCAGCTGGGCGTAACCCAATGCAGACCGAGCGCATGCGTATTGCACACGATTTGTGGGAATGTGGGATCAAAGCAAACATCTGTTATGATTCAAAAGACATGGTATCTCTGGAGGAGCAACAAGAGTTTTGTAAACAAAACGGAATTCAACATATAGTGGTGTTGAAAGAACAGGATGCTGGACATGTGAGAGTGAGTGAATTGAAAAAAATTGTCGCATTTCGTTTTCATATATAGTTTGTCAATAAGCTTGTCCTTCCATCCATATTCTGTTGTTAATGTTTAAAAAATTGCCTGTAGTCACTGTTAAGTCATTTATCTCGCAGGTTCGATCTTTTGACAAAGGAAAGTTCACCGAGTCTCGCGTACAGAGAGCTGAACTTGTGGCCCATCTTCAAGCGAAGTTCTCTACAAGGCCTGAACCGACTGAGTCCTCCGCGCCGTTGGGTAATAAAGGGGCCAACACGCAGAGCGGTAACGAGACGAGTTCCACAGTTGTTGCAGAAATGAAGGTCTCATTTAACACCCAGGAGAAGTGGGCTTGGAACACAAAGCGGAGATACGAAAGCTTGATGATGTTCAAGATTAAACCTCTTCTGACTCACATCAGTTCTAAGAATGCCGTGGAAGTTATTGCGGTGAGTCTGGGGAGTATGTCGTTTTAAGTGTTGATTTGATGTTTGACTTTAAATTGTACTTTTACGTTGGATTTACGGTTGGGAACGGTACTTCTGTTATATGCTGTGCTGTGCGACGTGTAGTTTCCATCGCAGCCAATGTTTTGGATGTCACGCAACCCTCTTTCAGAGCGAGCATTGCGTAACATCCCATAGATGAACTGTTTTAAGAAGGTAAGTTTATAGAGAAACTGCGGTGCTGCGTCGGTGCGAGGGGTTTGGGGGGTTGTGGGGGTTATTACAACATGATTTGGATTTATCAACTGAGTTGAGTAATGAAGAGTTTCTAAAGCTGATGAAACTCTCAGAGACTCTTCACGGTGACTAATTTACTCTATCAACTCATTTGATAAAACCATATTATATTTTCTTGTTGTTGTTGTTGTTGTTGTTCTTAAACTCTGATTGGTCGAGTATCACGTTACATTTCGCTATAATCACCTTGCTAGAGGTGATTACAACAGGAGCACCAAATTTGAAAATGTTTTGACATTTTGTCAATATAAAGGTAGACGTCGTTTTAGAAAATTCAACTCTGAAGAGCTCAAAAGATGCTACTAAAAACGCCACGCAATGATACGTGGTTACTTTCCCTCATCTGTCTCCTCTTCTCTCAGGTTGACCTGCCTGGTGTTGCTTTGCGCGACATGTCCGTAATGCTTGATCTGGATGCAAGTCAGGACGCATTTGATGCTAGCGTTGCGACCATTGCGGATAAAACCCCGCGTTACAAGAAATACCTTGGGCGCGTTTGCAACGACATTCGGGACCTTAAAGTATCCAAGAAAGAACCAGTAGTGCTCGTCTATAGTGTAAAAGATGAAGTGGTCGAAATATTTTTCTAGTTGAAATTTTTCTACGATATACACCCTTTTGTCAAAGCTGCACTTTTGTGCCACTCGTTAGATTAGCGCAGGATGGGTCACGCAATCCTCGTGTTGGTATACAGTTACATAAGTCATGCAACTTATGTAATGGTAGCTATTATTACAGAATGCTAAATGTGCAAAATGATGCTTAATGTACGTGGTTACTAGAACCGTAGAAAAAGCCAGTCTTGAAGACTTTAAAAGTAATAGTTTTGTATAACAGTTTAAGAGATGGATGAATGAATGATAAAGTAATGATTCATCTCTCGATTCTTCAACGTTGTGTGCTTTTGGTTAAAATCAGTTTGTGACAGTCAGAGTCGGTGAAAGTCTCCTGTACTAACTCTGTGTCTCGCTCATTTTGAAATTTGATACAATCTCGTCAAGGACGTCTTACGACGTCTTACGTCTGCTCGATTCTTACGATTCGAGAAATACGCAGCTATGCTTAGGGCCTGTTTACATGGAGGTGGGGGACCCCAGGTAGGTGAGGTAACCCACCTAGCCGTGGTCGAAAAATAGCCCGCGTTTACAACTAATACTCTAATAACGCATTGGTGTGGGTCATACGACGCGTACCTGAGATACTTAAAAGAGAGAGATTACAGAGAGTCCTGCAATCATGATAATGCTCTCTTGCTCTGAGGTCAGGTTCTCTTTTCGCTGACATGTACACTACTCCATTAAAGACTGTTTTTTCGCTTTTTGTTGTGTTTTGTTTTGTTTTTTTTTAGGGGGGGGGCGATGTGGCTTATATCATAGTGGTAATATGTAAACGCAAATTCTGGGCTGCATTACATGTTGCCGTCAGGCCTCAACCGTCTAACTCGCCTGTCAGCATGTCGGATGACCTCTTCGAATGGTTCCTTAACGGAAAATTCCTGGTTTCACTGGTAGCACTTTTTCAGCTTTTTAGTTCAAAAGGCATTTCGTAACGATAGGGTGACCGGCTGTTGCTGATGTTGAAGACTGCAGGTGGGATTGAGTTGTATCTGCCGTTGAAGTGACGGAGTAGAAACCGGAAATCGAAAGGGCGGTCGTGGGAGTGCTTCGATGGAAGAAAAAGGTCTCCTGAACGAGTGGCCCTGATTATAGATATTTAAACATGGTAAACACATTAGCCTTAACTTGGCTGTTTCTCGACACTCAGTGTTTTCCTACATGCCTTTTTACCGTGAAATGAGGCGATTGAATACATGTATTAAACACTAAAAGAACTACAGCTGATGGAAATTTTAAATTTCTTATCTGGAGGCTGTGGATACAAACTTATTAATGACTCTAAAAGTATAAAAATCTAGAACGAAATCTTTTTAGAGTTGTTTAGCTTTTCATTTTTCTGGAATCGAAAGTCGAGATTGCAAAATTTAAGTGAAAAGCAAACCAACTGTGATTAACGTCTTAAACAAGTCAAGATATTGTTTTTCGTCCTACAACAAGTTATATATCGTAAATATCATTCTTCTTGATGCCTTTCCCGGTGTCACCAATCGCGATACCTTTCCCGATGCCTCCGTTGGTTAACATAGCAGTAAAAATATTGTTCCAGTCAAAGCGTTTGGAAAATTGCTTAACTTTTTGAGTAGCGAAGTATAACCAGGTAACATTTTGGTTTTACAACACGATTGTTTTTTGCAAGTTACAAAACGTAAATATAATTCTTCTTGGTGCCTTTCCGAATGCCACCGATGCCTTCATTGTTTAATACAGCAGCAAAAGATATATGTGCCATCAACACTTTTGAAAAAATTGCAAAAAATTTAATTAGCGAAGGATACTGGTTAACATTTCGGCTTTACAACACTATTGTTTTCTGCAACTACAACTGATATGTACCTATCTGAAGTATTAAATTTGTTTCCCCGCGAATGTCAGACAACTCGCCCCCTGGACAATTAGCCCCAGACGATTAGCCCCCAGTCTCTGGACGATTAGCCCCCAGTCTTAGTTTATGTAAAGGAGAAGTTACGTTCATTTGTTGGTCATTGACTTTTATGAGTTTGTGGCTCCTAAAGGAGCCCTTTTTTTTGTGAATGTCTATCTATATTAACATTTACTCAATTTAAATTACATGGGTTGTACGAGGTGAGCACCAGTCGATAGACGCACCGGTTTTAACAGCGTTGCGGTAATCTGCCTGCGACACGCCCGATTGACATTAACAAGTAGTCGCCAATAAGTTAAAGTTTCGAAGTTTCGTCCCTGGTTTCTTTCCTTTCCTATTTAAACAACATGACGGAGAAACATTCGTAACGTATATAAACAGAAAGAACACAGTTCATTTTTGTAGAATATATAAACAGAAAGAACACAGTTCACTTTATAATTCGATACGCACGGCAGAGAAACGTTCATAACAAGCAAACAACAAGACAGCAAGAACGCAGTTTACTTTATAATTTAACACGCATGGCAGAGAAATGTTCGTAAAAAGCAAATAACAAGAACATTGTTTATTTCACAATATATGATAGGGAAACGTTCGTAAAAAGTAAAGGGCAAGAACATAGTTTATTTCAAGGTTGGTGGGTTGGGGGCTAATAGTCCAGAGACTGGGGGCTAGTCGTCTGGGGCTAATTGTCCAGGGGGCGAGTTGTCCGGATACCTTCCCCGCTGACCACTCGTATTTCGGTCTTTTCTTCTTTCCCCGCTCGTCGCCCGTGATGTAGTAACTCCCTCAAATTTCACTGATCATCTACCTCTATTTCCGCCATTTTGAAAGTGCTAGTTCCCAAGGACTCTTGTCTTATCTGACCTCCGGTCATTTCTATTTCTGCTTCCTCATCTTCTAGTTTTAACGGACATTTTTTAGTTACATAAGGTCACGCGTGAATGAGTCTGGAAAGCGATGTATGCTGCACAACATCGATGTATGACGTCCAAAATCGATGTATCCCTGATGAAATTGATATATTTTATAACGACTTGTATCATAACGCATAAAAATAACGTAATTAAACAAAACATTAATGTATCCACGTTCGGATATTTTGTCCGTAAAAAAACCTCGTAGAAACGAGCTCTGAAATCATTCCAAACGTCATTATCTCGTTTATAAGTGCACAATTAACACATATTATATGCGTTTTGATCGCGACGGGAAAACCAGCGAAATGTCGTCCTGAACTTGATGGGGAGAACGGCAACGCTAACACCGCAAGTCGAAATAGAATCGTGTCCAGATTATCCGCGCGTTTTCCCCTTCTGAATTTGGCGGGAGACGACGGCTACATCGGTCCCAGCTTCCCTCTGCCACTCCAGTCGCCGTCGCCCCGAAAACTTCCACTCTAATATGACACTTGTGAGAGACGAGAGACGGAAAGCAGTATGTATCATCTTCCTAAACTAGATGAGCCCACGACATACCAGCGGCATCTTGTATGAGTATCCGCAGGTTACAATGTGCTTCCGCTTATTCTTGTTGAAGCGTAGTCAGACCGTCACTAGATCATGGCTACGAGCTCATCGCAGTTTATCCTGAGATGCTATCGCTGTCAGTTATTTTCTATAATCAGGAGCTAGACCAAAGTAAGTCTTTATCTCATTTACATTTACGATGTTTACCTTTTGTCTGTATTATTGTGCAATCGCTACAGTTTTAGTTAGGTTAATGTCGCATTTCGCAACGCGTTTTTCATAGTATAGTTTCTGTTGTATTTTACTTTAGTTCGAACCACAAAACCTCACTCGCTACTTCGATCAAATATAAATACGTCTCTGCACTGTCTTCTACAATTATTAAAGACATCTTCACATTATATGTGCGTTCGAATTGTCTACCCAGCCGCTCGGGTAACTTTTTGAGGTTTCAGTGTACACTATCGGTTTCAATTTTGGTCATTGTTTATTGTTATTGCTTTGAAAGCGCTTAAACCAGGGGTAAATTTTGAAGCTGAAATGAAAGAAGGGAAACGAGAGGTATTAAACAGAACATTTTTCTAAAGAGTTTTTTTTTCGGCGACGGAGATCGGGAGTTGTGGTCAAATATCACATATGTGCGTCTATGTTCGTCTAATAGAAAGTTAGCTCTACTGATATTGGGCATTTGAGGAGGTTGTATCGAACAACCTGTCTACTGTACAGGATTCTTAATGCGTTTGAAATGGGGGAAAGTTATATCAAACGACAGGAAGGGGAGCTTCAAGCTCTTCAAGCTATTTTCATGGACAACTTCCGCGATTTGAGAGTAGAGGTAATTTATTTATTTAAGGGTAACTGACTCCAAAATTTTCCTTTTCTTTGTCCCAATACATACCTCTTAGGTCAAAGAATCCTGAATGAGCAAATAAACGATATATTATGCAAAACCAAATTTTCTACAATTTTTTTTGACGCTTAATCGACGGCCAATTTGAAAACGAGTTTGATTCAAGTCACATGATGTAATACGTCACTCGTGTGTAAGGCAGTAAAAAGCGTCATGTCAAGACCTGAAAGTAACAACATCGCCCTCGCTGTCCAGCCACTGCCGAAATTTACTAGTGGAAAAAAAATAAGATTTGTTCCATTGTGATATAGGCCACCATTTAGAGACTATGAAATACGAAATAAAATAATGATGGTTGAATAGTTGAAACGCAACAAATCGCATGTCTGCATTCAGAGCCACAGGTAATTTGCACACCATTCCAAACAGCTGTAAAAAAATATATATTCTCATAATTTTTTCCTCTTAACCATCATTGCATCCTATACTCAAAGAAATATTTTTTAGTCCATGCTGAAAAGTATTTGACTTTAGATTTTGTCCAGTGTATGTCACTGTGACCACAGGCCCATCAGTTCTGGAGTGAGCATGACTAAGCACAAAGTATTGTTGCATATTATGGGAGGTAGTTATCTGGTTTCATGAACAAAACTCTTCTTCCACCTTCTAGAAATGTACAAGAATTATTCTTTTTTATTTTATTTTTTTTAAATAGAGACTAGTGAGTAGCACAAAGTAAGACTTCTTGCCGTTGTAACTTTTTGTTAATTTCTTTTGATGCGTTTCATCTCTAACTAAGAGTTCTCTAGGAATGATTGCAGCAGCATATATAGCACATTCGCTTGCCTAAGTTTAATTGACTCCCAGTGAAAGTGTGTAATAACAGAAACATGCTGTAAACAGATGTTGCAAGAAATGCCTTGTTATGAGCGCCACACTCTCGCGTTGTTTCTCATTTGCGACCAGAAACATGATGAAATCAATCCTGTCAGAAAGGTTACTTGTTTCAAAAATGCACCTCTGTCAGCTGAGTGGACAGTAAATTACTCATGCTCGTTTATTTTAAATAGAACAAGCCGACAGCCTGAGAGGCACAAGTCATGGGACTACCTAGCTTTCACCATTTAAAATGCAGTGCTTTGGTAAAAAAAGGAAACAAGTCAGCGACAAACTCGTGCTATGGAAATAACATGCATGTAATGTTTCTCAAATTATGACCCGAAATGTAATTTTGTATATATATATATATATATATATATATATATATATATATATATATATATATATATATATGTATGTATACATGTTCACACTCAAGTTATCCAAAACTGTCCCACTTTTAGCCGCATTTACATTTACAATGGATGCAAACAGGGTGTAAAACAAAGGAAAAAAAGGAAACCAGCGAAGTGTTGTAAACATAGTAATGTTTAATAACAAAAAAAATGCAGATGGAGTCAGCCTCCCAGTTTCCTCAAACCCTGGATGCTGGACAATACATCTGGCTTCTGCCTGCAACTGTTCCACTGTAACATCCTTCAAATTTTTATTTTTGACCTCATCTTGCTACTTCTCTGCAGATGTTTTCTTTCTCCCTCTGCATTGATTAGCAGTTTCCACATCGACACCTTGTAATAAAAAAATCAGTAAAGTAGCATTTTTTTTCACAATGTTGAATACACAAATTGTACAAATTGTATGATTGGTTTTACTAAAAGGAACAGTTATCAGCTCTGTAATTGTCCCAAACGTGAGAGATAACTCAAACTTTAGGCTATAAACAAGGTGCAAAGACTTCAAGTAAGGAATAAATTCTCTCTTATTTTCGAGCATTTGTGTGGTAAGAAAACTTATGGCTTATGGCTTTGAGTTATTTTGGAACCTTCTTCTTATAAAATCCTCAATAGCAAACAGCACTCCTCCGATTTGGTTGCATTTTCCTTTTCCTCGGATTTCGAGGCCAGTAGGGTACATACATGCAGCGCGTAACACATCACAGGTAGGTGAAAACTCCAGAACAGCTCTATAAGGTGTTTTCTTCATTGCGTGAAGAACATTTTCCCTTATATAAGTTTTCAAAAATTTTACCCTCAATTTTTTTTCAGAAGAACTGATAGGATTTCAGCTTTTCGTGATGCGTTTATCTCAACATGCTGTGGTAATATTTTCATGTGGAAACAATGGGGTAAAGCTGAATGAAATTTATCTCAGGTAAATTACGGAGATCGCTTGGCCATCCAAGGGCTGCAATCCTTACCATAGTTGCTTCGTATTTGAAGTCGCTCTGGTTTTGTTCTAGGTCCTGGACATCTGTAAGAAGTTCTTGGTTTTCTCCTCTACTTAATGGAAGGACATGTCACATTAGCAATGCATAAACTTTTGACACTAAGTCGGCTCTAATTCCGCCCGTCAATTTTGAATTAGATTTTAAAATCTCCCTGAGATCTTTTGCTTTGAATTTCTGGATGTCATTTAAGGACGAAATTTTTATATTGTTGTCTGAAAGAACCATTTTGAAGGGAGAAATCGCATTGAAAAGTGCATTAGAACGTGAAATGTCAGCAGATCAGCTGTTTGAAAGATCCGCAGGGTCACCCCCAGCCTTGTTATCTTGTGCGCGCGGTTACTTATCCAATATGGCGCAGGGAACTGTAAAAAGGTCAATTGTTTCTTGAACATTGCGCGTGTTAAATATTCAATAGTGACATCTCATTTACATCTACATCTACTTTTATTAAGTTGGTAAATTCTGTACCGTAATCGCACCAACCAACTCGCGCGCAAAGTGAGAAGACTGTATTAAGGCTTGAAATTATATTAAGAATGATTGTGATCAAGAAATGGGCAAGGAATATTCAACAATAGTGCAAATAATCATGAAGGATGATCGTGTAAGAGCGATTGTGTGATGCTCGGTAAGTTGTAAGATGACATGTTATGACATATCAGATGAAAGAACAGTATAAATTCTTAGTCTGCATTTTGTACCCAGTCTGCAGTCTGCATTTTGTTCCTAGTCTGCATTTTGTACCTGGTCTGCAGTCTGCATTTTGTACTGACCGGACTGGTATTGCTGTTTTGTTTGAGCGAGTCTGAAGTCTGAACTGAAATATTGGAACTCTAAAAAGAATTCTAGTGAAACTATCCTGGCTACTGTGATTGATATGTGGACTATATGTTGAAAAGCTCACGAGAAAAAGTACAGTGTTAGAGCAATGAGTACTTTATGCTTATTGAAGAAGAACGAAAATGCATGGCTTGCCAATATGGCTACCTCTAATGCTCTTTTGCGTGGTCACAGTGTGTGTTGAAATGAACCTGCTATGGGTCCCCTAGGTGTGAATATTTCGGCTTCTCGATTCAAGTTGCTTTTTTAGAAGTTTGGAAATGTGATTTGAGGTTATTATTTTTATTGAACCTTATAAACATTTTATTTCTTTCCACGTGAGTTTCTGAGCTTCATCAAAATTAATTTTGACTTTCACCTAGTGAGGAGGGGTAGCATGCGAGACTACTTCTGTTCACGGTCCGCAATGCAACTTCTGTCCACAGTCAACAACTGCGGTCAACATCTGCTCCATCACAATACCTCATTCATTGCTTTCAGCACAAATGAGCAAATAAGATGTTCAATACTTCATTTATGAATGCTATTTTTTGCTGCATTGTGTTTTAAAGTAAAAGCTGAGAAATCTTTTATCATTTGCCAAATTCAACACTGGAAAACTTAAAACCAATTCAATTGCATGGAAAGGTGTATGATCCATCCAATTCAATTCCACAAGCATGTATGTTTATATTTTCAGTCAGGGAAACCTTAGCTTCAGAAGGTGCGTGAGTGTGTCACAAAAACACTTTACTCCTATGATATTCAAGAGGCTACACATTTGGTTTTCTTTCCTCGATTGCTCTTACATTTAATAAGCGACTGATTTTCAGATACCTTATTTACAAGCATAAATGCACTCATCATTCTTGCTTTCTTAATTGAGGCAGCTGTGGCACATGGGCACAAAGAGGCATTCAAAGCACCTTGCATCTGTTTCAATGTGTTACCTGAGGTATTTAGACAGTATTCTGAAGAAGTGACATTTTAGCCATCAGTTACCCTTTAAACAATTATACTTAATTGATTAGGGATGAAGTCTTGGGAACTCGCCATAAGCATTAGGGAGCTGTTTACAATCTTGCCTATAATGGTACTGATGAATTATATAGTAGTTCAGGTTTTAATCTTTTGAAATATGTAGGAATTTGCCTGGAGCATAGATTAAACTGTGTCAACTTTGAAGATCAGAGATTAATGCTTACAATGGATATTAAGACAGCTCAGAAGGGGTATCAAGACTTGTTTGTTAGAGAATTAGATTCACTTCATCATACTTGTTGTGTGTTAGGCCATTATAATGGTCTCAAAGACTGGTATTTTCAAGATGTCACTTTTTAAAACCACTATATTATATGTATGGAAGTAATGAAGCTCAGACCTCATTTCCTCTTCAATTTGCTGACAAATCAATTCTGGTTGCTAATATTTTCAATCTTGCTTAGCAGCCTGACTGTATGTCTCCTTCACACTTCATCTCTCTGGCTCACCTCTCTTTTTGTACATCTTCGCAATCTCTTCAAGCTAGTGCAGGGATTTACTTGAAAAAGCATTTTTTACTTGAAAAAGCATTTATTATTATTATTTGCAATAAGTAGAACAAAATTCATTTGTGTTCTGCACATTGGGGTTTTTTCATATTTGTTGTACAACCATAGCAGTAATAAAAATTAACTTATTTCTAGAGCATTTTTCAAATCTTTAATCCTTGAGGGTTATAACAGACTAATAATTTCCCTTTAAGGCATCACTGCTGAAGCAAATATTAGTCTTATGAGGATTAATTCTTCTCAGTGTCATAAGAAATGTTTGAAGAACAGTATGGAGAATATACATGCTGATCTTTAAGGGTGTAAAGCATTTAGTCAACTTAGTTTGAAAAACCTACAACTTAGCTGTTATTCTGAAATTGCAGCAAAAGCATCTTTTCTTTTTTTCCCAAGTTAAGTGGTCCTTATTATGTAGCTTAAAGAACCTAGAGAAATTTCAAGTTCTAAAGATATTTTTGATGCAAAGAGAGTTCAAATGATACATGAGAATGAAAATACCAAGACTTTTAGAACAAAGTTTATTGAGAAAGTGGAGATCTCTGGCAACTGGGTAAAATTTACTGGCTAAATTGCAATGGCTTGGGCTCTTTTTTGTTCAGTGGTGGAGTGAATATTCAGTATGTCCTCCCCTTAGCCTAACACTGATCTGTTGTTACTACATTTCTTAATGAAAACCCTGCTTTACCTAACATAATGTTTGTCTGTCTATACCGCATTCATACTGTCTTGTAATTAACAAATCAAACTCCCACTTCGAATGTCGTAAATCAATATTTGATGACAAAAAAAGGGATTCCACTTGGTCCATTACTATTCTATATCATGGAAGTTTCACTAAGTTTTGAATCAAAAAGGCACCCACTGAGGGCTGGGAAGGCAGAAAAGGTAACATATTGCTGATTCTTGGATCATGATGGGTTGCTCTCTGTCATTTTTAGGAGTCCATAGCTGTTTATATGCAATGGTGAAGGTATTTAAGAGGAAGATGTTAAATCTTTCAAAAATTCGCTTTTTGGCAAGATTCATTAATAAAATGATTGCCATAAAAACAATTTTGGTTGCTTCCCCCATCTCCTCGCAACCCCCCCCTCCCTTCCACAAAAAAGCAAAACAAAACCCTCCTATCAATGGGAAGACATTTCATGTCCAAGTACATGAACTAGGAAGTAAGGTAAACAGTTAGATTGCAACTTTTGCATTTGCCAGCTTGGTATGCTAACTCCTCTGCTGATTAAAACAGTCAAGAGCAATAGAATAAAGAAACTGATATCAGGAAGCAGAAATGATTTACTACAAAGTTGCTGGGATTTGGTAACTGACAAATCAGGTTCATTATTATTTTAGTCTATTACTCGGCTCAGAACTGAACATCTCTTATTTGAACTGAGCTGAAATATTGATATGGAAACCCTCCATATTGTAAATAACATCTTGAAACCCTTGATATTTAGTCACCACACTTATTACTGCAAAGTTGAACGTTAGACTTAAATGCTGCAAATAATGTAAATAAAGTTGATCTCAACAAAATCACTTCAACTTGGTCACTGCTAACTTAAGGATTACACATATTCGGGAGTTACAGAAAATTTGCTGGTTGCTGATCAGCGATTTTTTTATAGAATTTAGTGCCCAAATATATTTTTCACTTGCTATGGCAACCAAAACGGTTGCAACTTGGAGCACTGCTGTCATATACTACTCCTATGCTACAGTGTCTTTTTAAGTCTTTCTCAAATTAGTTGCATAACCTGGAAACCACACATTCGTTAATAAAGTAGCGTAATTTTTATGCCAACCCTTAAACTCCGAGAAGTGATCCACCTGTAACTTCTCCCCATGGTATCTGTACATTACTCAGCAAACAGGAAATGAGAATACTGAAACTTATCAAGTAACAGTTATCCTGATCCAACACAAAATTACTTTAACCAACTTGCACTTGAAGGACATGTGTAGCAGCTAGAGGGAAGAATTAACAATTGGATACATGTATGATGAGAGTTAAAAGGGCTAGTGGAGATTAATTCATGGTTGCATTGGTTTTGCTTACCCTAACCATAAGATGGTCAACATCATATTTGTGACTTTCAGATTGTTTTTTTTTCTTTTAATTAGTCTTTACATGTATACTTAAGTTTCAACAATTTGACTCCTTTTGGTCAGTAATTTTTTTGTTTGTTAGCATTCTGCTTTGCTTCATTCATTTTGCTCAGGTTCACATTGTTCAGAGGAAATGGACTTGAATTTCAGAGCCAATGGCATTCGCTTAAGGAGGCTCGAAAGGGTTTTTCGTTGTTGCAGTGTTTGTGAAACGATGGAAGATTACAAAGAAGGATATCTAATGGGGTGGGCAAACTATATGTCTCCTTGCAACTCTATTCCTGGGCTATACTTTGAGAGTACTTGTGATGTCATATCAGTTACCATGGCAACGTACAAGGTCCACAAAAACGTCCACTAAATTTTAGTTTTTGTAAATTATCTGAAAAACTAATTCGGTGACCTACCATTTTTATTTCTTTGTTGGAAAGTTCCCTAAATTCTTTTACTTTTCACACAGTATGGAAAAAATTTATCCAGTAGAATTAAATATATTTAAAGAAAATGCGACTTATGGCTTACAGAAAATTCTAGTAGATAATTTTTCCCGAAACTTTTATATGCAAAAAATCAAGATAGGTCACCGAACAAAATTTCGAGCTAGAAACAAATGTATTTCGCAGATTTTATTTCCGGTTCGCGCAATTTCAAGCAGCATTTAACTTCCGGTGTGCTGATTTTGAATCATTCAGCTGACGCGTGCATCTTAGTTGCGGCGCGTGCATCTAAAAACCCTTTCGAGCCTCCTTAAGTTCAATTTATTTATCAGTCAGTTGTTGATGTTGATCATTGTTATTGTGAAAGTTGCTTTCTTAAATTTCACATACTGCCTCACAGGTTATGGTTCTGCAGTAAGCACATCATGTTCAAACATGTCTTCACCAACACAACAAACCGCAGTTATCACTTTATGATAAAATGATGGCTGACAAGCGTGAAGAAGAAGAGAGACTCCAAACTGCTGAGTGTCAAAGACTGCAGATGGAGATTGAAGCTAACAAAGAACGGGAAGAAAATGAGGTAAAAATAAAATTTGTCCTCCGAAGTTTCTGTAAAGTTAGGATTATTTTGCATGCTTTTGTAGGCTATATGTGTAACATTATATTCGTCATTAATGTGATCCTTAAAATATAAGGGTGTGTCAACATAACAACTGGAACGAATCTTCAACTCTTTCTCTCACAAGATCTCAGTAGTAATTCTCCTCACTGTCTACTATGCATTTTTATGATGTTAGGTTGGAGAATTGGATCAACTAATAATCTCCTAATTTACATTTGTGTTTATTCTCATCACTTGTCTACTTGCTTTTGTATTGATATTGTAAGGAGAAATTATTTCTTGGTCACACATGGGAGTTAAAGTGTGAAGATATTTGGAAGGAGAGAATAGGTAAATTTCGTCAACATTAGTGTTTTAGCCAATGATTTTCTATTATATTGATATTTTCTTAGATTATGTTGGACACTCGATTTAAAATTTCTCTGTTAAGCTTGAGACTACACATGGGAGTTAAAGTGTGTAGATGCTTGATAGGAGAGAATAGCTGAATTTCGTGAACATTAATGTTGTAGCCAATGATTTTCTATTATATTGATATTTTTTTAGAGACGTGAGTTAGACGAATTACTACAGTTGAGAGGTGAAGCTATGAAGGAGGGCAAACGACGGAGAACTTTTGCTATTCTTGTAAGGATTCTGTTATTAAGTTAACTTTATTTTAGAGTGATTTTCGATAGCTTTTTATAAAACTAAAAAAAGAAAAATTACAACGGGCAATCAAGAGAAAGGAAAACACCCTGAAGAGTTCATGAGAACTCATAGTAAAAATATGCAAACCGTCTAAAGTGCGGGAAAACGCGGACGACCAAGTCGTGATTGGTGTTAGTTTTGCATCTGATTGGTTGAGAGAGTGGCACGAGTTTTCTGGACCAAGTACAGAGCAGAGTATAGCGGAACCGATGCAATCCTGGATTATGTTGGACACTCAATTAAAAATTTCTCTGCTAAGCTTGAGACTATGTGCGCTTTACTAAATCACTAGGCAAAGAAAACCAAGAGAGATCCAGCGGCTCAGAGTACAAAGACAAAAGATCCTGACACCAGCTCAACAAAGGAAGTGCCAGTTCAAAGGAAAAAATCTTGGAATTCCACGGCACCTACACAAGCTTTCCCGTCGCCCAAGAAAACAGAGGGAATGCCTTCTGGCTACAATGTCATGAGACGAAGGTGGAGCTCTAAAAGGCTGGGTAATGAATCCTTCACAGGGACACGAGTGATCCACTTCACCATTAGAAGGAAGCATATCGTACATTGTGGAAAATGCCTTGGTAAATAATACTTGACTTAGGGGGAGGGCCAGATGGGAAACTACAGTATTTGGCTCCAATTCATGACGCACGGACCGAGTGAGTCCTGTGCAACATTACCGAAGGCAAATATTTCTCCTTCTTGAACAACATAAGCCTGTACCAAGCTAAGTCTGAACTAAGCTAGGAGGCCTATCCAGCCGTAACTTATGCCGGTTTCCATAGCAAGAAGCGACTAGGAGTAGTACTATCCCACCCAATTTTGTTGACTTTCAAAAATTTACTAGTGCCTGTTAACACCAAATTGCACTCAAAAACATGTTGTTACCTATACAAATTGTGCTTCAACCTACATGGGAGGCGATTAAACACAAATGAGACGGGCGCGTACGGAACGACAACCTTGCCAAAGTACTTTTTTTAAAAAGAACTTGGCCAGCAGCTATCCCAATCTGGTCCAACAATCGGTTTTAAATTAACGCCCAGATGTTGGCAAGGTTGAGGAAGCGAAGTTCACTGGCAGTTGAAGTGCTGCTCAAGGGCTGGATTATTATTTAGGTGGTAAAAGCATCTCGTGCAAGTATTGATTCTTGCAGGATAGACTTTCCAGGCTCTCTTGTTCAAGGAAGGAGCGTGAATTGAAGCTATTTTGTTCTTGTTTCAGGTCAGGGATCATCTGGTTCTAAAGTTTACAGTGGCATGAACATCACCACGGGAGATCTTGTGGTGGTGTGTGAATGGATTTTGTCGTCCCTTCATGCAGGACCTCAGATGCGACGCACGCTGAGTATCACTGAGAACCAGCAACAAGATCCACAAGCTAGGCTCATGAAACAGGTCTTGTTATTCATTCATCTACTTCAAGTTTTTATTCTGTGATTTATTTAAAGTTTAGAACACAACTGACGCGGGAACGGGTTATGCTTATGCAATTTTTTTGTTTTGTCAATAAATTATTGTTTTGTTGTTTGTATTGTTTTCTTTTTTGTTTTTATCTCGTTTTGTTCCATTTCTTACTAAAGGGTATTTCCTTCCAAAACAATTATCACACGACGCAAAATTACAGATTTCCAGCGAAATTAAAAATAATTCTGATTTTTTTGTGCACTGTTTTCACTCTTAGGTGTTCAGTATAAAGCAGGAGACTTTGTCCTTAATCAAACGCCTCAGTCATCCAAACCTGACACACTATTTAGCCGTTAATGTCCAGGAAGAATCTCCTACTGTCAAAGTCCAGGTATTTGTAAGTGTAAAGTATTCTAAATATATAGTAAAGGAAGATTTATAATCCTTTTACCCTTTATTTTTAAAGAAATCTCACCTATTCAGCTCAAGATTGCGAGGAAAAGGATTAATTTGGTATACTCCGGATAAAGAAGTCTTGATATCGGCCCCATCCAAGCTTTTGAGTATTCTTTCGAAAACGCATAGGGCCGATTATATAAACAAAGTTTACCTGAAAGCTAATAGAAGAAGAGTGTTGATTTAATAAAATCAACCCTCTTATAGAGAATACCTGAGGCCCATTGCTATGCGTATCGTTTTTGACACTCTACTCTTCTTGTAGGACAAGGTGAAACAGCGGCTTTATATTTAGCGGCGTTTTAATGCGGATGATAGGTGGAAATTTAAACCATCAAAGATTTACGTTTTTGAATGAAAACGTTAGGTAGTTGTGTTGGCACGTGAAGGAAAAACCAAGAAGGCTAACCTGGGTGAAAAATATTTTGATTCGTTTTCTAATTGCCTTTAAAACGGACAAATTTGGTCGTGGCCTGAGGCGGTTAACTGTCACATTACCTCTATTATCTTTCCATTCATTAGTATAAATAGGTGGCAACAAGCTATCAGGAAAAAGATACGAAAAGAAAAAAAATTTTGAAGGTTGCTGAATGCCCCTGTTTAATCCATGTAACACTTTAATTTATATTTCATTTTACAGTTTAACCTTTGTAAGCGGCACCGCATTTAGCGCTCGCCCTTTATTAAGCGGTCAGTTGTCAAAGTCCCGAATTACTGTTTCCCCTTAATTACTGTAAGTTTACCTCTATTAAGCGGTCACCTCCATTAAGCGGTCTTGTTGCCCCTATATTAAGTCCCAACAGCCTGTTTGTATTATCTTCCACCCATATCAAACGGACGTTAAAAGAGGAATTACTCAAACAAAATTAAGATTAATTTTTTGAAGTAAATTTTGATGTTTCTCTCCCAAAATCAAAGTAAGTGGTATTTTTAAGCGAGATTCTGGCATAGTGCCGTTGTGTATCGCTTTTATAATACCCCTAATCTGTGGAACTTGTATGAGGCGGTCATCCTGCCATTCCCCGCGGGTGAATGCTTAGTACAGATTCGACTGTAGCTCCAACCATTAGAATGGATTTCCCCTACCCAAGCCCTTCCCTTACTTTTGTAATATAAACTTTTACCAGGGCGTGAATTTTCCCAAAACTATGCCTTATTTTCTCCCCTTATAAATTAATTAATTATTGTATTTTTCCTTTTTTTCTTTTAGGTTTTGTCAGAATACGTTGGTGGTGGCGATCTCAGTTTGCACCTCAGAAAAGGAGGGATGCCTGTGGCTCAGCTACGAGAATACACTCAGCAACTTGTGGAAGCCTTGTGCTATCTTCACAGCAAGTCTGTGGTCCATAAGGACTTGAGGGTGAGTGAATCAGAGAGGTGCTTGTTTATTAATTCATTACACATTCGTCTTGAAATCGTCAATTTTTCCTGATATCCCTGTTGCTCTAGATTCACTCCTTCCGTTTCGTTCACAGTTATCTAGTTGCCGCCTTGACTCTGATGGATATATTCGACTGGCCGATTACAGTGTTGGGAAAAGGTGAGTTTTCTTTAGTAGCTAGAGTTTATAAAAATTCGTTTTCACATAGCAGATCTATTGACTATTTGTACCAAATGTTCAACTCAATATAAATCGCCCTTTCTTAAGTGGTAAGCATATTTTTTCAAACAAATTCCTGCAGATGACGAACAGTTAATTAACAACTTTTAGATTTTACCAAAGGATCCCACCGGTTGAAATATTACCTCCCATTTTTTTGCCATAAGAAACATCTTAGTTTTCCAGTATTTTTTTTGTTTAGTTCATTCTTAGTTTCATTTTTTGTTCCTGTATGTAATGGTTATTATAGATGCAGTATCTTTAGGGACGAAAGATTCCAAACTCAAGGTTAACTTTGCCTCATTTCTCTACACCTCCTCCCATTCCCCTTTCCCTCTCCCCCTCCCCCCCGCATGGCCACGCCTATCTCGGCTCCCAGTGACGCCAGCGACGTAAATTGATGCTGTATTGCCCAGTGTTGGATCAGTTTAATTTTACGTCCGTCAAAGCAACAGCGTAGTTGTTACAAGAACTAAGAAGTTCCCGTAAGGTAGACATGAGATTGAATATGTTCAAATAATATTCAAGGTTGTCGGATCTGTACCAAATGTATGGTGGGAATGTGACAGAAACACAGAGTAACGCTGCAGACGGAAACAAAAAAATAAATTCTGGTTGCAGAAAGAAAGGAGATGTCTACAATTTGGTAAGGGATAGCTTCGTGAAATCTTGTTCATGGGCCTTTGAAAAGCAGGGGTATCTCTGTTTTTCTTTCCTTAGCTTCATCCCCAATTTTGAGAGACACGATTCGTCTGAGGCACGCTTTCCTTGCGCGTGAAAATGCTTTCTTTTCGGGGTATGACAAAGAGAGGCAGAAGGGGTGAAACAGGTACGAAGCTGCAAACAAAACTAAGGGTGGAGCTTAGGGTTTGGGTTAGGTTTAGGTTAAAATCCAAGCAGCAAATAGCGGAAAAATTAACTAAAAGACGCAAACATGCATACAAAAAGGGTAGGCTCAGCGTTATTTAATCCAACATAGAAGACGCGACGAGGATGCTTGAAATTAATCAAGATTATAACACTAAGACTATTTTTTTCCTAAGGGCCTACTTGTTCTCTCTTTGGCTGTCGGAGATGTAATCTTTGGAGACGTGAAAGAAATATCTCCTTCATTGCCGTCGGATTTGCGAGACTTCCTTTTTTAGTAAGTAACAGCTCTGAATTCTAACAGGCTGGACTCATTTTTCACGCATACCAAACTCCAACAATTCGCTGTTATTTTGCAATAGTAATTTTGCGCGCTAGCACAACTTGTGAGAAATGGTTGTGACAAAGTTCATGCAAGAAAATGATTCTCAATGAAGAGTATGAATACGTGCTTTTATAATCATCCTTCTTCGCAGTTGCTTAAAGACCGTGAAAAGAGACCGGTGGTCCGCATCTCAGCTACGCGAACATTCATTTTTAACCTCTGTCATGTACGGTAGTTTAGCGAACGGCCAACAGGAAGTTGCAAAGAACAATGGAAAGGCAGGGAATGATGGGCCATCATACTTGGTTGACCAACCGGAACGCGAAGAGCCTCTACCTTGCTTCTTATTCATCTCGGGAGTTCCTGGAAAATCCCGAGTAGAATGCGAATTTGAGAAGCTGCAGTTTCTCGGGAGAGGAGGTTTTGGAAGTGTCATTAAGGTACACTACGTTCATTAGTTGAAACACGTAAGAGCGTTAATATCCTGCGATGAAGAAATCGGTTTTTTTTGGTCATATCTCGCGCTTTGTACAGTAAAATTCTGAGGCCTTATGAGGAGTTAAGCCACAGACCTTACATAAGTGACACGCAATCGACATACTGCTGGAGTGAGCAATGTCGACAGCCTCGTGTGGGAAAATAGAATAGGAAAGATGCTGGAAGTCTTTAAACCTTGTACTGAAATAAAGGAAGACCCCACAAGTTCATACGCCATTCAGTTTTAATCTTTGTTGTTATTTTATTTATGTATTCTTTGTTTTTTGCAGGTGCGAAATAAGCTGGACAACTGCTCTTACGCTGTGAAGCGGATTCCTTTGAATCCAAAGAGTACTCAGTTAAACAAGACGATCATACGAGAGGTACAGCTGATCAGCCGTCTGAATCACGAAAACGTCGTTAGGTACGCATTTAATGAAATCAGTACAGACGGAGTTCTTGTTTACGCAGAAATCGTGCGTGGAGACTCGCAACAAACTTTGGTGGGACAAGTAAACACAGGGCGAATCGGGACGCATGGGAGAAGATTTGAAATTAAAAAGGCTCTGGCAAGAATTAAAGAAAAAATACCACTGAGTTAACATTTCGTTTAGTACAACCGTATTCCAGATTGCTAGATTTAAATATTTCACTTCAAGGAAAGAAGGACGAGGAAGTTGAATTATGATAGGGTAATTTTTAGAGAGGGTAAATTTCGCTTGGTCCTCTGTTAAGCTAGTATTTTTTATACGTCTGTAGTAAGTTGGTTTTACAGGCTCCAATAATATTGCTAGTTTGGGAGGAAGAGTCGCATTAAGTTGGTGAAATGGTTGTCGTAAAGGAAATGTTGAAAATGTGCATTCTAAGGCGCTTTTAAAGGGAAACGGAGCGCAACGCATAATAAAACTGATATGTACTGTGCTTATCTATTACAGCTGTATTTTAGTGGGAGAACACTTAGCTCTCTAACCCGTCTACCAGCATTCCACTCTAGTTAACGACAACAGATAACCTAAATTTAAATCGAATTTAGCATGACTATTAAAAACCCCATCAGGCAGTGGGTAAACCAGTCGGCTATTGGTTGGCTATTGTCGAAGAGTTTAGCTCGAAACTACTAAAGAACAAATTTAACAGATGTCTGACAGCAAGACTCAAACGCGGAACCTCCGAGGCACGAGTCCGACCCGCTTACAACTCGCAGTTCACGCTGCCTTACTTCTAGTTACATTTTCCCTTCTGTAGATATTACAGTTCCTGGATCGAAATCGCTGAGGACGTAGAAGACTCCTGGTGGCAAGACGATGAAAAAGGGGATAACAAGGGGTTTAAAGGAAATATTGAGGTGTCGGTTCTTCAGTCTGGAGATCTTTTAGACACAGAGGTAAGGTAGTCTTGAAAAATATAATAATAATAATCATAAAAAAATTGAGTCGTAGTCGTGGCGCTTTTCCATTAAGTAACTGCTAACTAAGAGAGAAATCTGTTTTGATGCTTTACTTCTGCGACCTTGTCTTTCCTTCCGATAAGGGTGACTGTACATCGCTTTAAGTGTCAAAATGGAGGGCTTTGCAAATCAAGAAACGTGGAAGTGGTTGAAGACATGGTTGGCTATGAGTATTCCTAGGTTTACGTGATAAACTACTCAAAATATTTTTGTCGAGCCTCCATGACAAACGCTGGTATGAAAACATATTTCGGTTGACATAAAACTGTAGTCTACTCTGCTTAGAACTCTCACTGTCTAACTGTAAAAACAAAAAAACAGAAACAGAAACAAAAAAAAAACAATAATAAAAGAACAAAAAACAAGGGGCTAACAGAAATTTAAGAGTGCCCATGGCAGGATACGTTTTAGTATTGTTACACGCACAGAATACATTAGCTGACGCACGTGATCACAAGGTTACAGGGTGCTTCGGAAACAGGCTGGCCTCATTTTTTTTTCTTTTTTCAAGTCCGAAGGTTCTGATGAAGGAGTGGAACGGCAGGAAACTGGAAACGAGTCCAGTGCAGAATACGTGAGACTGCAGTACTTGTACATTCAGATGGAGTACTGTGAGAAGAGCACCTTAAGGAACCTTATTGACGAGGGCTTGCATGGAGATAAGGAGCGAATATGGAGGCTTTTCAGAGAGATCGTTGAGGGCCTGGTACACATTCACTCTCAGGTGATGCACAAGCGCTTAATCAATATGTCACATGTGTGATGTAATCTGCTTAGATTTTCCTTAGTTAGAGCAATGTTTAATTGTCCTATATGAATTCGTCAATGGCGAAGCTCAACATCGGGCTGTTGTTAGAACAGTGCTAGCAGATCAGAAAGTGAAATCCAAACGCCTTAGATTCGATTTCTCGTAGGTGACTCAGATGTTCTGCTGTTCCACGTACGGGGCAAAACGGAGAACATAACGCTTTCTTTATCGCTTTTTTCTCTTTACTGAACAGGGTATTATTCACCGGGATCTTAAGCCCGTAAACTTGTTCCTAGATTTTCGCGGCCGCATCAAAATAGGCGACTTTGGCCTCGCAACCACGCACGGAGTGACACGCGGAGGCATGGGCACTGACAACCCAGATTCTATCGCTAGTGGTCAGTCTCCCAAGATGAACTCAAGCTCTAAGGAGAGTATGACAGGCGAAGTTGGTTCGACGCTGTACGCGGCTCCGGAGTTGAAAAAACGGTCTGGCGGTCGAGTGAAGTACAGTCAAAAGGTTGACTTGTATAGCTTAGGGATTATCTTCTTTGAGATGTGTTACAAGCCTTTCAAAACTTCGATGGAGAGGGTTAAAGTTTTGGGCAATTTACGAACGGTAATTGTATGTTTACCCGTGCACTACACGCATGTAAGAACAGAAGAAATTTGTAAGTTTTCCGTCCACAAGGAGAGATCAAAATAGCCAAAAGGGCGTTCTTGTGATCTACTTTCTAATGCTTTAAAGTGGAGATGCTCCTCATTTTGTTTATATTCACTTTTCTGAGCCTAAACTGAAAAGGATGTAGAATTATGCAGAGGCGACAAAGTCGTCGGTGTTTTCACTCTCGAGCATTAATAACGCTTTTCATCGACTCTTGTTCTGTTTGTTTCCTAATTAGGAAGGAATCATCTTCCCAACTGATTTTGACCACGAGGGCCTCGCCAAGGAAACGATCTTCCTTAAGTTGCTCCTCAAACATGCCCCTGAGGAACGCCCTACCTCACAAGAACTACTTCAAAACCCCTATGTCCCGCCTAAGACAAGAGATAGTCAGTTGGACGAAGTGCTCAAACATACGCTCGCTGTACGAACTCTACTCGCTACCAGCGTGTGGTGAAGGCCATGTTCTCGCAGAAAGTTTCTTTAGTTGGAGACGTAACTTAAGATATTGAAATGTACATGAGACAGTTTTCTGGTTACTAACGCTTTCATGAACCGTTTAAACGGATAGTAAACGGTTTCGCAGTTTAAACGGAAAAGCGTTAGTGTCTGTTTTCCCATGGAGGGTCACAAATAGTATATTAGCACAAACCACCCAGTAAAAATTATAATAAGCCAGTTCATTATTTCTTATTCCTTTTGGCGGTCTTATCTTACAGGTATAATTTAGCACGCGTGACACCTTTTTTACTTAGAGGTGACTTTAGGTGTAAACATGTAGTACTGTTCATCTTCCGCATAGAATTTGTAATCAGATAACTTGTACGGCTAGCACGTAGCTCTTTTAGGGGCGGTACCTTGAGTACGCCCTTTCGAATTTTGTGTTTATTCTCCTGTTACGCAAGAGCCTTCAAGGACTATTTTCTATTAAGATATCTTTTCAAGTATGATTTTAATTCCGTCAGTAAGTTTATTATAATTTTTATATCGTCAATCTTGTTTTTGTTTTGCCCGAACTTGACCGTAAGACCAAGAGATTTAAGTTAGAAAGACATTTTGTAAAGCGTAGACATCGCGAAGGTATCTACTTAGCATGCGAACTCCGCTCTGCGTAGTTTAGTTTGATTCGATAGTTAAGTGTAAAAACATGATGAAGGTAAGAGATTGACAGCTCAGTAAGTGTCACCTTTATAAGTGGTGACCCACACTTTTCTAGAGAGATCAGAGCTAGTCACCGTTGTAATAACTTTAATAATAAAAGAGAGAATAAAAGAAATAACCAACTGAACGACGAGTGCTAGGAAATTAATTTCTATTGTTGTCGCTGGCCCGCAAGTTGTAACTATGACCACTAAATGCTGTTTTCGGCTTGAGGAAGTTAATGGGGTGGTCTTTTTGAGTCATCTTCTGAATATATTTGCAGCAGAGCTGAGTTCGTCTTTCTTTCAAGCCGCTAAGGTTGGTAGTATAAAGGGCACCTTTAACTAACTATGGCATGGATAGATAATATGTTGTGCCCTGTTTTGAATTGACTCAAGCCTATTTGAAAGAAATTCGGGAATATCCTGCCAGATTTTTACGCCATATTCTAGTATAGGTCAAAAAAACCTTTGACGATTCCTTCTTTACAAACACCCACTTTTTAAAGAATGCTCAGGGAATAAAAGCGTTTCGAAGCTTTTTTCGATATGTAATCAATATGCTCGTTATACTTTAAATTATTAATGATTATAATACCGAGTAATTTACAAGTTGTCACACATTCAACGGTGTTGTTACCTTGGACAATTGGTCTTGTAGTAAAGTTATCATTTTGCTTGAAGTTAATTAACATTTCTTTGCATTTTTTCGGGTTTAATTTCATATTGTGTGGTATAGAAAACTTGTGAATATCATTGACAGCTACATTTAGTAAGCTAATACCGTTTCTTGGCTGGATTTCTAATGCTGTGGTATTATCAACGAATTTAATCCTCAAATGCCATTCACGCAAAAGATTGTTGGTCATTACAGCAAACAAAATCTTACCCAGTTTCGTCCCTTGTATGATACCTCCCCTGGGAGACTTCCAATCAGACAGAGTTACTTAGAAAAAAGAAATCAAAATGTCTTGACTTTTTGTCAATGTGAAGGTAGACGTCTATTAAGAAAATTTAACTCTTAAGAGCGCAAAAGATGCTACTAAAAACGCCTCGCAAAGATATATGGTTACTTTCCCTCATCTGTTTCTTTTTCTCTCAGGTTGACCTGCCTGGTGCTGTTTTGCGCAACATGTCCGCAATGCTTGATCTGATTGCAAGTCGGGACGCACTTGATGCTTGCTTTGCAACCATTGCGGATAAAACCCCGCGTTACAAGAAATACCTTGAGCGCGTTTGCGACGACATTCGAAACCTTAAAGTATCCAAGAAAGAACCAGTAGTGTTCGTCTATAGTGTAAAAGATGAAGTGGTCGAAATATCTTTCTAGTTGAAATTTTTCTACGACTATACGCCCTTATGTCAAAGCTGCACTTTTGTGCCACTCGTTAGATTAGCACAGAATGGGTCACGCAATCCTTGCGTTGGTATACAGTGACATAAGCCATGCAACTTATGTTATGGCAGCCATTATTACAGAATGCTAAATGTGCCAAATGATGCTTATGTACGTGGTTACCAGCCAGTCTTGAAGACTTTAAAAGTAATAGTTTTGTAAAACAGTCCAAGAGATGAACGATTAAATGAATGATAAAGTAACGATTCATCTCTCGATTCTTCAATGTTGTGTGCTTTTGGTTAAAATCAGTTTGTGACAATCAGAGTCGGTATAAGTCTCCTGTACAAACTCTGTGTCTCGCTCATTTTGAAATTTGATACAATCTCGTCAAGGACGTCTTACGACGTCTTAGTCGGCTCCATACGATTCGAGAAATACGCAGCTTTGCTTAGGGCCTGTTTACATGGAGGTGGGGGACCCCAAGTAGGTGAGGTAACCCGCCCAGCCGTGGTCGAAAAATAGCCCGCGTTTACAACTAATACTCTAATGACGCATTGGTGTGGGTCATACGACGCGTACCTGAGATACTTAAAAGAGTTTTACAGCGAGTCCTGCGATCACGATAATGCTCTCTTTCTCTGAGGTCAGGTTCTCTTTTCGCTGACATATACACTACACCATTAAAGGCTGTTTTTTCGCTTTTTGTCTTGTTTTGTTTTGTTTTGTTTTTTTTTTTTTTGGGGGGGGGGGGGCGATGTGGCTTATATCAAAGTGGTAATACGTAAACGTAAATTCTGGGCTGCATTGCATGTTGCCGTCAGGCCTCAACCGTCTAACTCGCCTGTCAGCATGTCGGATGACCTCTTTGAATGGTTCCTTGCAGGACTTAACGGCAAATTCCTGGTTTCACTGGTAGCACTTTTTCAGCTTTTTAGTTTAAAAGGCATCTCTGACCAGCTGTTGCTGATGTTGAAGACTGCAGGTCGGATTGAGTTGTATCTGCCGTTGAAGTGACGGAGTTGAAACCGGAAATCGAAGGGGCGGTCGTGGGAGTGCTTCGATGGAAGTATGTAGTATGGAGCCAACGACAGATGAGGCGGCAGCTTCTAAAGTGACAGTGGAGTCGAGCCAGAATGAGAATAGCTTGTTTGTTGCGTTAATTGCTGACTGAGAGCGGGAAATGCTAAAGGGATATTCATTTTCTCTGATGATGTGGTAGTGGAGGTCAGGTAATTGGTGCGGTTGCACTTATATTATGTTGCAGTTTATTCGATGGCGCTTGACTTTCTCTCGAGGTTAATGCCTATGACTGCAGAGCTTCATTTCGTTTCCTTCTGCAAGCCTTTTGGATCTCATTAGGCTTCATACCTCACTTTCTGGTCGTCTTTCGGCTACACTGTGAGACGAACACCCGGTGCACTTTTGCGCTGGAAATGTCCCCTGATTTATTCAAGATACGTACACTTCAGGAGACACTAAATATTTCCAGCCACAGCAAGGGTACCTTCACAAATGCCAACTGCCTTATAAACAGCGCACCGATACTTCAATTGACGCCCAGTTATGGCAGGTGAGACAATTAAGGGCACTTCACTGTGACTACTCTTTACAAATTACTCTAGATCGTTAGCTGCTGCTTGCATTCGGGCTCATTCAGTAACGCCTCTGCATAAGTGACCATGTCTCTGAATGTACTCGAAGGAATCACATCAGTGAGAACATCGAATTCATCGGCTTCAACTGCGAGACCTTTTGGGCTTTGGATGTCAAAAGCAAGGGTGTGGCCTCCTTCGCTTTCTCCTCGTAACTGCGCATGCGAGACGAGAGGGCAGTGACGCTACTGGTAACGAGAGGGCACAGCATATCTGTGAAGAATCGCTTTAGAAGGGACCTTTTTTCACCTGGAAGCAAGTTTTGTGGTAGTTATAACTGAGGGAAAAGGTGGTGTAAGTATTTTCCAACCTTACGCTCCTTCCCTGTATAAAGCTTTGAAGAAGGACTCTGCTTTTCGGACTTCGAAATGCTGTCGTCAGGCCGCCATCTTTGTGACTGACGCCATCAACCATTTTTATCGATCTCAATCTTTGGCATGTAGTGCAGCCATTCAATAGGGTTTAGTTCTAATCCGCCGACCATTCCCGCATGTTTGCGGGTGTACTTAGACATCTTGTCTCTTAACTCCTCTTCTTTGTGCTTGATGAAATATTTGATAAATTTTAGGTTTTTTTTTCTGATTCCTTTTCCATTTCATCCCATTTCTTTTTGAAAAGAGCAGACTTCTGGTTAAATTCTTCCTCGCTTTCGCAGTCATTTTTGCAGCCATCTTCCCTTATCGTTCGCCCACCTAAATTATCGACCACTATGATCTTTCTCTGCTGAACAGGGAAGTTAAGTTCTGCCAATTTATTTTGGATATTTGCCTGAACGTGCTCTAGCCCCAGAAGACGAATGATGTTGGTTGTTTCTTAAAGAATTCCTTTAAACTGAGCGCTTCGTCCTAATCGGAACCAAGCTTGTGTATGCCTCTTAGCTGAGTGTTCGTTTGTGCTCTTTCGATTATAACCATGTTTAAATTTTTAACTACGTTTATAACTAAGATATGGAGCCAATAGTACCTTATAAACTTTTTCTAATGTCTTAAACACTACTACCCTTCTTTCTCTGTTTATGTTGCCATGACGGTTAGACAATTTAATCACTCACCAATATTAATTACGTCCTCTTTAGTTTTTTTTTTCTTCAGTTCCTTTTTCTTTCTGTGACTCTTCTTCTCTAAAGGTCTCAATGGACTTATCTCATAGACGTGAAATGGCCATAAAATGTAGCCATTAGGGGTTAAGTTTACAGATTTTAACCAATAGTCGTAAAAAAGTTAAACGTAAAAGATTTCCGGTGACAGCAATTGAATGATCTTGATGCTAACCGTTAGCCGTTAATTGGCCAAAATTGTAACTGTTAGCCTCTTCTGACGGATTACGCACTTTCCTCCGGGAAAACAGGATCGGGAAAAGCCATGTACTTACGCTCGCAAAAAAATCTAAGAAAGTGGCTTTTACTTGGGGCAGGAGAGAACAGACGCGCCATCACAATGGAATGTGCTGCACATAAAATTAATCACCTTAGAGTAACCTTGAAACGTGAAAATGTGTGATGTGAGATTAGTTTACTCGCATGTATCTTAACTTTTTAGTGTGGAAGTTTGGAAGCGTGGAAATCTGGAAATATACAAATGAGTCTTTACCTTACTCACATTTATCTTAACTTGGTAGTGTGGAAGTGTGGTAGTTTGGAAATCTGTTAATATGCAAATGAGTCTCTCCTTACTCTCGGTAGCGTGTGGAAGTGTGGAAATCTGGAAATATGCATATTAGTCAGTCGTCCGCCATCTTGATCTTCGAACTTCACATGAACATACGGCGTGGAAAGCATAAAAACTGATTTAAACACCCCGTTTAGTGATCGATCAAGTTCTCATTGCTATATTTTGAACAACCGAACCTCAATTTACGGGTAATTTTAAGTTATGTACCCTGAAGTTGAACAGATTGTTATTCAGCAACGGTAAGAGATCACCCGCGACGATAATTTTTCCTTTCACAGATGTTTTTGGAGCAAGATAAAGGCGAGAAAGCTCTATTTTCAAGGGTTTTTTTCGCTTTTAACAGAGGCATTTATAAGAACTATGCTTTAAGAACCCAGCAAATACAATCTGAATGAATAAGTAAGTCTTGATCGATGCATATGGCTACCAGTTGTGTTGCATCTGAATAAACAATCATGCGTAAAACGGCAGTGCCTTACGATTCGTGGCTCATTTTAATTTCTTGTAGTGACGTGTATATCACCGTATGACTCTGA